TACTTTATATACATGCATTTTTAATTTGCTCGAGCTAATGGCTTACAAAAATTACATTTCATGCTCCCATATCAAAAGTTTTGAATTCCGTCAGTTGTGTTTAAAACTTAAAAAGATTTCTTTCCCAAGCAAAGACATACACAAGTTTATACAACAAAAAAAGGATTGCTGTATGATGCATTTTTTATTGGTTGGACTTAATTATAATGGTGTACAAAAATAACATTTCATGTTCCCAGATCAAAAGTTTTATTCTCTTAGAACTTTTAATTTTTTTTTTGGACCAACAAGCAAAGACACATAGGGGAAAAGATAAGGAGGATAAGAAGTGGTGTTTGTCTTTCATCAAGCGGGCGTCAGAAATTTCTCAAATAAATTGACACAACTTTAGAAGTTTTATGAATCTCCATTGTAGTTCTAACTAGGCTGACACATTGCTCTTTTTGACTCAACAGGACGACTTATGTTGTTTCAATCAATTTCAGATTTAGGTTTAGCCACGTTACATTGTTCTATCGGAACCTTCGGGTAATACTTTTAGCAATGCAAGAAAGATAAATGCCTTTGTTTGAAGTATCTGAAAAGAAAATCCTATGACTTCAGCATTGTTTGATAAAGTCAATTGTCTTTTATTAACTACATGGTCATTCTTTTTAAGTAAAGATCATTGTATTTTTTTGTGTCACCTCAATAAACTTAAATTCATTTTAACTATAAAATTTGATTTTTCCCCTATGGAAAACTATTACTGCGTGGTTTTACAATAATTCTCTACGTCTTCTCATCTGATTGCTCAAACCTGTACAAATGTCACACACTACATTCTTATATTTAAAGCGTCCCAAACAGAGTACTTTTTACAGACACGAATGTAAAAAAATAAATAAAATAAAGTGTTTTATTTTATTCCCTGTATATCTTATTAGACGAGTTGTAATTGTTAAATAAGCTGGTAGTAAGATTCCGTACATTTGACTGAAGAACGAGAAAAGCATTTACACAATGGATTGTCTCTCTACACACTCTTGCAAACAAAGAAAGAAAAGGAATCGAAATGAAAAGAGTGAATAAAGAAATAAAATAATTTTCACCTTCCGAAATTTATAATAATCATTACAAATTCATGAAAATTTACACATACTAAATTAAAATAAAACAAAAAGTGTTTGATTGATAATGTGAGTGGATAAATACATAAAATAATAATAATTGCATTTCAAACTCATAAGAATCATTACAGATGCAGGGAAATTTAAATTAAATGACGCAGTAAAACTAGAACATGTTTTCTTTCAAGGCATCATTCAACGGGAAACAACTCTTTAACAACAAACTTTTTATCTGAAAAAATGAAAGCAGATAATAAAATGATTTCATATTTATTAGATTGATGATAAATCGGCGTTTCTGATTGGTTGAAAGAAATTGTTTGATACATGTACCTGCATCAGATGAATATTCACAAATTAGCCGGTGTAAAGACAAATAATGACCCCATTGAATAATGACCGGGTTTTATTTTTCGATGTCGAAAAATGACCCCTGATTATTATTCGACGTCGAAAAACGATTCTTTTACCGTACAAAAATGTGGCATCACTCTTTAAATCTGTATACCCTACGTTAAGAAAAATGACCCCCGTAGAATAAAGACCCCTTGTAGATTTTATTAGAGATATAATTTTCTTTTGGATAAAAATATTAAGAATTAGGAAATCAAGAGGCATGTAGATCAAAATGCTCAGCTGAGGTAAATTGAAGATACAGCGATGATCTATTGTTCTCATTAATTCTTTCAAACGTCTTTTATGAAAAAAATGACAACTTTAATGGACATCAATATTCACTATGCAGAAATGTTTCCAAACTGATTTAAATAATGTATCATTGTTTTAATATGATTTCTTTTTATTTTGGCCTATATTATCGAGAGAGAGAGAGAGAGAGGGAAAGAGAGAATTGTTAACACTATCTACCGGCTAATTAAGTTGCGTCCGAGTGCCTATTTTTCAGCCAATGATTTAAAAAGTGTATATACATGTTGTTTTTGACATACAGCAAAAATGCCTTACAATTTAAATAAGAATTTATTCTTGATGTTTATGAGACTGCTAAAGTCATCTCATTTGTTATTTAGCCATAAACACCTATAATCAGTAAAATATCGAGATATGAAACCAAAGATTACAAAAGATAGAATAAAACTAGAATGTATGCTTTTGCATGCAAATGTTTGAGGGGCCGTTTTGTTATTTACCGCCATTAAGTGATATCACTATTTAAATATGTTATGTCACCTTTTCGAATAAATGATATCACCAGTTTAAATATGTTATATCACCTATTTGATTTGAAATTGTGATATTAACTATTCAAATATGTGATATCAATCATTTGGTTATGAAATGGTGGTATCACCTTTTCAAAGAGGTGATATCACCTATTCGAATAGGCGATATCACTAAATGGCAATAAATACCAAAATGGCGCCTCACACAATGGGCATACACAAGTTCTTAATATATCTTAGTATATCTGTTTACGATAGTTATCTCATTTGTTTTGAAAAAAAATGTATCCAACCGTTTCTATGGCAATAGAAAGAGTTTAACAATCTTTGTAAGATTATACTACGTAAGTAAGGGAAGTTGACGATTGAAAAATTGAAGTTATCACGTTTATAATAAAGCTTTGTTAGATTACAATTAAAGCCTTTTTCAAGTAAAATATACATATATGAAACAAATGTGTCAGACTCTGAGTTATCTTTTATTTCAAGCTTACTGGGGTACATCGAGTTGACAAATGAATGGTAGTAACTATTATTAGTTGAAAATAACGCCGTTGATATATCTAAATGTTCAAATAGTTCAAACTTACAGCAAGTATTTTCTTGTTCTCATGTAGAAGTTTTTGAATGAATTCTGCTTCATTGAATATTCGCTAGCTTATTTGATGATCCAAAAGGGCACCGAAAAGCGGAGCAATCCCCAGCAAAGAGCGTATCTATATCAAGGCACTTCAGTTTCGAACGTGGACAAACTAACACATACATACACAAGCCCGTTACTATATCCCCTGCAACTCCGTTGCAAACAAAGTCCATGTTCTGTAATAATACCCCTATGGTTTGGTCACAAAACAGATGTCAATCAATGCAATATTATGTGTACAGCTAGAACACAAATTAAATTAAACTCGACAATATTTGGACAAACAATGCAATTTCTTAAGACTGGTCTTCCAATGGTATATAAATATATTAAAAGTACAGATAAGAGAATAAGGTCATCATTCACATGCATGCACGTGCGCGCGCATGCAAAAGGTGAAATGACTAATATATTTGATATAGCTGTAACTTTTTTTGGGATGAAATGCTTTGATACTCAGAATATAAAGATATATTAAAAGTGTAGACAAGATGACATGGTCATCATTTACATGCATTTTTTTATTTAATGCTTTGATACCTAGTATATTAAAATATATGTATAGCATAGACAAAATACATGGTCATCATGCATAGGCATGCACGTGCGCGCATGTGTAATGCGTAAAACGACCAATTTATTTGATTGCCTTATTTAATGAAACTTACAGAGAATAATCCTACAAAAGGGAGTTAGGGACCGTTTGGGGAACATCTGTGGTAGAATCAGGTGCCTAGGAGGAGTAAGCTTCCCCTGTTGACCGATTATAGCCGCCGTAAGCTCTATGTATTGAACAGGTAGACGGAGTATCCGTAGTCTAATTCAGAATAAAACAATGACCTAAAAGATATGAAACATGTTAGACAAAATGCGACAGAACGATAAGTTGTATTTACCAACAAGATCGACAGATTTGCAGAAAACTGACTTTAACGGGGTCGTTGAAATCTTTCATACATAAACTTATTTGTCAGTAGCTTGTCTCGGTTAAGAAGGTGATGTTTGAGCATTGCTACTTAAAGAAGGCAAGTTGACGATGGAAAGGCTGAAGACATCAAGTAATACAATTGAGTTACTAGTTGATCATTATAGTCTATACTTAGTAAAACATTCAAATTAGAAAGAGATGTGGAATACTCTATTGCCTTTTTCTTTTGAGTTACTGGGATATATTTAGTTGACATTTGAATGAAAGAAACAATTGTTCTAAAGAATGATTTTAATAGTTGCCGATTTCTACGGCATAAGGTTGGTTGGATAAATTTACTTATAAATCTGGTCTAACCCAAGTCATACCGTATCAACTGAATAGCTTTTCAACTCATTCCTTATAACTTAATTTCCAATCTTTTAGTTATAAAAATATAAGACCATTACCCTTAAAAATTACTTCAAACCGCACAAAATTTAAATGTCAGGCGGATTGCTTTGTTTTTAATGCAAATCATTGTGACGTAGGCAACATAGTTTATAAACTATAAGGTAAATTTTCCAATTAAAAAATGTTGATCACTTTAGGAATGTTACCTTTGCAAATAATTACCTAAAAGTCACTTGAAAGATTCATTTGAAATGCTTATAACATTCTTGAAAACTACATAGGTCAACTGAAATATAGATTCTATAAATCAAAACAATGAAGTCACGTTTTAACGTCCTAATTTTGAATTCTTTTTAAGTATACCTGTATAATTTTGAAGACAACATTAAAGCGGCTTTGTCATTTTACGTTGAATGTATCTGCTTATAATGCAATGACTATTCAAAATACCATTTTAGTATTCTTATCAGATTTCTTCTGATTTACTAGCATGCTAATTATTTTAATTAACTCCGAGAAATCGATGTTACAGTAGTGTACAATACGTATCAACTATCCAATAATTTTTCAGCAATCGTGTATGATATATAACAACTAGCCAATCAATTTTCACACTTGAAAAAAAAATCTCTTATATATAGTTTTTTTTAGCTGAAATAATTTTAACATTGATTTAATTTTTCACCTGAAATAATTTTAAAATTGATTTTAAAATGCATTAGTTTGTTTTAAACACGTCAAGCAATATGAAGGATCTTTGGGTTATTTATTTGATTGATATTTTCTTCACGGTGTCTCAAGCTTTTAATTTTTCGCTGAATTATCACGCAGAATTAGAATTTGATAATGTAAAGTCAAATAACGAACTGTTAGCTGAGTACACGGCTCAGTCGTTGTGTGAGTGTTCTGTGCATGCAAAGTGTCAAAAGGAGTACTGTTGCTTCTTTGGATATAACCGGATATTGAAGACGTGCCGTGTACATAAGAAGGTCTTCAGGTCTGAGAAATCTAAAGAACTTGGATGGAGATATTACTCTCATGATTGTGAGGTTTATTTTATTTTCTCATTTTCTGCTATAATCTTTGTGACAAATCACTTAATATAGTACATCAATGAATATTGCAAAGGTAGCGGGTGAAGGAGTTTTATCAATATCGCCATTTATTCTTTAAAATTAATTTCCCAAGTAATTTTTAAAATCACTATATTGTCACAGTCTTATTTTTTAAAAATTTTTTTAGCCAGTGATATTCTTTATATGTGATATTTTCTGATATCCTTTATATGTGATATTTTCTGATTCCAACATTGATGAAATCTAATATCCATCCACATTTTATTAATCTTTATAAGCAAATGTGCAAGTCGGAGCAGAATTGCGATGAATTAGAAATAATTTGCGAAACAAAATAATAAAAACAAAAATTAAAAATAAAAAAAAATCTGTCAACATTTTCACATTTGTATTGTTTCAAAGAGGATTTCCCTTGCTTTTCACTTAAAAGGTTATATGATATATCTCAAAATATCTTACTGCAAGAAATAGGAGAAAATTCATAATCAATCTTCGGAGTATACAATGCAATGTAAAGATAAACGAATAACTATCATGCTCAAAATTTAAAAAAAAAGCTACAATATGTGAGCACAGCAAACAAGGTCTCCTGAAAAACATCAACGTTTGGATCAAGATCTCATGCATCCCTCTGTAGATTTGGTCAGGCCTTTCGTAGATCGGGTCAGACCTGTCGTAGATCGGGTCAGGGCTGTCGCAGATCTGATCAGACCTGTCGTGAACTCCTCGTTTTGATTTGGTGAACGGAGTAATCCAAAGACAATTTATTTTGATTGATTGATTGTATGTTGTTTTACGTCCCATTCGAGAATTTTTCACTCATATAGAGACATCACCATATACCGGTGATAGGCTTCAAATTTAGACCTTTACTCGGCACTCAGGGCCATTGAGCAGTGAGGGATCTTTATCGTGCAAAAGCCTGCCGTGACACGGTGCCTCGGTTTTTAAGGTCTCATTCGAAGGACCCGCAACTTTCACTTCAAAGTGCCGAGCGCATGGCGAAGAAACAGTCGCTACCCATTTTTATCGACTTTGGTCAGTCGCGGCCGAGATTCGAACTCACGACCTCCCGATCACGGACGGAATTTATTTTGAAAAAGAAGGCCTATTGTAACAATATGTTATGAAATACAAGTGAACATCCGACATAACGACTTATATGGATTTATGTTTTCAACTACGTATATTTTAGGTAAAGAGCAAATCATTTAATCCAGAAATAAAAGTGCATCTTCCTTTAAATTCCTTATCCCTTAGTTTTATAAGAAATGTGACCACGGAATATTTGAATTACCTGACTCACAGCAGGTGAGACCGGACGACAGGGGATGCTCATTCCTCCTAGGCATCCGATTCCACATCTGAGATTTTTGGGGGTCCTTGTGTTATGCCCTGTTCACAGATTTGTATTCTTTGTAGATTTTTTTTTTAGATCAAACACTGTTCCTTATCTTCATCATTTTCATTGTAAACGTACGCGAGAGTAGGACTCCCTCTTTTATTTCTTTATTAAATTCAGTTTCAGTATTCTTTTTTTGTTTCAGTTGTCTTTCCTACTAATTGTAAGGACCTATATGATAATGGTCAGTCTTATTCTGGTGTATATGAAATTTATCCATATTGTACTGCCTCACATCCAGTCAGAGTTTACTGCGACATGGAAACAATGAATGGAGGATGGACGGTATCAAGATTTATCTTTAAATCTTCAAAATTGACATGACATGGTCATTGTTATCTGGTAAATTTCTGTTTCAAGGGGCTAGTTAACGACAGAAAACATTTAATTGATTACAATTAATAATGATAAGATAATTTGTGCTTTCTTCTATGATTAATAACTTGTACTCTTAATATTTCACACACACTTAACATACAAACGTTTATCGGATTAATGTTTAAATAAATTATTATCTTTTAAAGGCTATCCAAAAACGAGTTCTTGGATCTGTAAGCTTTAACAGGAACTGGGAAGAATATAAGAATGGTTTTGGTGCCCCGGAACACGATTTTTGGATTGGTAAATATAAATTACATTAAAATCTAATTTTGATTAATTTCTTCCTGTAGTTTATAAATAAATTTTGTACAAGTATAAAAACACTGAATATCAGTTCGCAATATTCAGTTACTGTGATCTTTCAAATTCGTACATATACAGATTTAAGCAAAAAAAAAAAAAAAAAAAAATAAATTCCTTATTTAATGACAACAAATGACGGAAATGATTACGCATAAAGTATTTTAAATATTTATCAGATATACAACAGTTTTTAAAAATGATTCTTTCTTAGGGAAATTTTTAAAGAAACCAACCAAAAAGCAATTATATTGCAGTATAATGATGAACTATTGATATTGAATTATGTCTAATCGCAGGAAATGAGGTTATTCACCAGTTAACCAAGGGAAACAACTCGTACCTTTACGTTTCCATCACACACCAGGATGGAAGGAGACTGTATGAGTTGTACGAACGATTCTCTGTTCTCAGTGAAACAGAAAAATATAGACTTTTTCTGGCTGGAAATACCACGGGCACATTAGGTGAGAGAGAGAGAGAGAGAGAGAGAGAGAGAGAGAGAGAGAGAGAGAGAGAGAGAGAGAGAGGAAAATATATCTTTTGCATAAGTAACAGAAAAACGGACCTATATTTATAAAAGAAAATCCTAAAATGGTCATAAGAGCAGGTAGTCTCTAAAATCAGATAATCATATTTTAGCAATTTCAAACTATATTACTGAACAATAAATAGTACTACATGTACTAGTTAACTTGCTTTCCTATTCTCTGTCCTTCATCATAAGTTTTGAGTCATTTAATCCTTTCGGTAAAATATATTCAATGAAAATTCGTACGTTTTTATTCCTTATTGTTTTGTTTGTAGATTTAATTTTTGAAGGAAAATCCAAAAGCAAATTTGTTTTATCATTTTCACACCTCTTCACAAGTGTTAAGGATAAAATTACGTATGCAAGATTATTGATGAAAGAAAAGAATAAAACACTATTTTGGGACCAAAAATGATAGTTACATAACGCGTTCGACAGGGATCGCTGAACACAGTTTAGATATGATGAAAATATTATTTGTAGAAATATAATGGTTGCATATGACAAGAAGTCGCTATGCCAGGTTGTCTTTTACTATATTTTGGACACCCTAAGGCTTAGCACAAATACACATAAAGACAGAAAGAAAGAAAGAAAGATAGATAGATAGATAGATAGATAGATAGATAGATAGATAGATAGATAGATAGATAGATAGATAGATAGATAGATAGATAGATGTAGTTTTGCGTTCTTTGTAAGATTTTTCAATCATATGAGTTGTCCAGCAGATGTCGCTGAAGGGTTTCAAACTTAGACTTAGAGCAACTGACAGTGAGGGTTCTTTAGGTTGCTTAATGCCTGTAGGTAACAGGGGACCTCAGTTGTTATGCTCCCATCCGAACGACCCTCAACTTCACACCAAAGAACCGAGTGCGTAACGAAGGAACAGTTTCTCCCTCCTTTTATATCGACAGGTTTCATTGTCCATTTAGGGTCTAAATTTAAACCCCATCACCGACATCTGCTATCGTATCATATGAGTGAAATAATTTTGCAAAGAACAACAACAATAAGTCAAACAAGCCTTTAACTCTATAGGAGACCAGATGTTAAACACTTCGGATTCCATCTCTGATTTGTCTGGGATGTACTTCTCCACCTTGGACAGAGATAACGATGGATGGATTGAGGGAGACTGTTCTGCTGATCATGGAGGAGGGGGATGGTGGTTTAACGAATGTTACCTCGCCTTTCTCAATGGTCCCTGGTTATCAGAGGAATGGAGAGCACCCTGGTTTCCAAAAGTTGTGTCAGGGGCATCTGTGAGAGAGACGATAATGATGATAAAACGTCACTAGGTACGTCACGTCTAGGTAATATCTACGTAGTCTCTACGTCCTATCTATGTAAACTGTGGGAAATATTTATAAAATCTCTCATAACATCTAATATACATCGTTTTACGCAGATAATTTGTTATTATATGATAGGGTTTTTTTTTGTTTTAATCCAAGGTACATAAATTCCTTCTTTATATTTCTGTAATTCTTGTTTTTGTTTCTTAACAGATGAGGATGAAAAAAGGGGTGAAAAACAGTTGATTCAATAAAAAAAAGTTTGAAAACAGATGTCTCTGATAAGCAATGTAGATAACCTTTATATTCTATTTTCTGATTTTGAATAAATGTTTTTATTTCAAATATTTGGAACATTTGTAATTCTTTGTAGGGAGCACTCTACTGAATACATAGATTTTTCTTAAATTTCTATATAAAATTTACATTACAAAAGGGTGTAAATTGAAAATTAAAAATATCTTTTCTTACTTTAAAACACTTCCACATGGAAAGGTTGATAATTGAATGAAAACTGGGGATGTAACAAAATCCTGTAAACAAAGAAGAAAAGTTGAAATATTAGAGATGGGATCAGGGGCCGAAGAGGGGAAGATCCCCTGTCGATGGTAACACTTCAAAATCTCCTTCTGTTGATCAAATATACGGAGTAATCCGTCAACATAATAAAAAAGTAATGACAACTCAGTTGATAGGAAGTATGTCAGTCAATTTAGGAACAAAGAACAGATAGTATTTGCTAACAAGATAAATTTAATGGCCATTGTATTTGCGAATTGCTGCCTTTGAAGTTATGAAATTACTAAGTCTTGTAACTTCAAATTATTTGTCAGTAGTCGGCCTCGGCTTAAAAGTTGATCGTATCCACAATATTATCTTGTTTTTCTAATCAATACATCAGTCGGGCGATACACATATGTATGTATTGTGCAAGATAATATACTGTATACAGGGTTATTAATATTTTCGCCCTTTCACACTTGCAAACAATTTTGCCCCATTTTAATTTCGCCCATTCAGAGTTTTGTTTAAGAAATTATACTATTCCCCATCTTAAATTCGCTCACTTGCGCTTTGGGCGAAAACGGGGGCAAAACTTCCCTTGTATACAAAATACATATGCAATACACAATCATATACATATTGTAATTTACAATGAACGGGTTATGGGGATCCTACTATTTATAACATGCTTTATTGAACATCCCTAAAAAACTAAACAGAAATATAAATAGCTATTTCATATAAGTTAAGCATAAACATGCAATTGTTTTGCTCTACTAGTCAAGAACATTCACCTATGAAGTCATATAACATGCAGAAAAGATGATAAACGCCTTTAAATGTGTAGAGTTCGTCCTTGTCAACACACCATAAAATGTAAAATCTTGTTTTATTGTTCTCCGAAAAAAGAATAAACAATAAAAATCAGATTCTTCAAATCAGCCAATTCTAAATTTTGTCCATGCTGAAAAAAAAGGACAAATAGTATTAACAGGTGAATGAGTCAATTTAATTTTAAAAAGGATGTTTACCAGTCATTAGCAAAACAAAATTTAAAATTCATAATCATATCTCTTCCACGCAACAAACGTGTAGAATCAAATGTTAGCTTTAATTTCTTTTCACCTGGAGAGAACTATGGTTAGTTTATTGTCTAACTTGCAATTTTCTCTCACAGCAATGGAGATATTGGCACCAGTATTTCGTAAAACTGTATTACGAAAAAGTCAAGTTACCATCAAATTTTGCTTCAATATCACAAACCTTCTTTTTTAAAGTATGAAAAATATAGTGCAATACTTTCTACAAGATTCAAGAAAAGCTCTATATACAAAGATTTTCCCACAAGTGACATCTTTATATCCGACTTTTACTGCAAAGTTCTGTATCTAACGGTCCTCTTACACCACGCTTGTCACAGCCGTTGTAAGTTAGAAGTTTTCCATAAAGTGTGAAGATAACGAACAGTATTCAAGCTCAAAGTCCATTAAAACAATACAAATCGGGAGCAGAACAAAGTTGACCTCTTAAAACATCAGAGGTTGGATCAGGTGCCATGGAAGATTACGCATCTCTGCCGATCGTGTGCTCCTTGTCATAGTTTTCTTACTAGCGTGTTCCTTATGAACGAATTTAAATATATAGTTTTGTGTCTAACTTACCTGTCCTTCCTCCACAACGCTGGAGACATTGGCCTTCAGTTATAAATCTATTGTTGTTTCCGTCGCAGCCTCTATAGGAAAATCTGCCACACTTATTGGTGAAACTGTTATATCCCCATCTTTCAGAAAGGAAAATGCTGTTACCTGGTTCTATTGGAATACGATGTACTATTAAAAATGGATGTTGTTTGGAATAGAAATATGAAAATTATATAAAAGTGCCAACTACAACTAAGTGTGCAATATAGACACATGACAATCAATGGGTGAGGATTTTATACTGACGACTAGCAGTCTTTAATAAATTAAACTTACATTTACTAGAGTCAACCATTCATTGTGCATATTATGCTTAGGGCAACCATTGTACATATACATGTAATATCTATGGCAACCAATGTATTTATACATAGAATATCTATGGCAACCAATGTACTTCTACATATAATACCTACTGCATCTAATGTACTTTTGAATCCCCAACAAAAATTTACTTAAGTTAACTATAGTTTACTATAGTTAACTACTTTTGATACCTAGATTTACTATGAAACTTTACTCTAGAAATTTTTAAAAGAGATATCAAAACTTAAAATCTCTTAAAGGACTTATCGCATGCTTCTAAATTATTTGAAATTAAAAGCGTATTACGTTCCTTATGACCACAATTTATAAATTCTGTGTTTTTACTGTGGATAAATCGCGATAATTAACCAATTATTGACTCAAATGAAAACCCCTGAATTAAAAATCTAAGTTAATTAGATAGCGATCACGTGACCCTGTGACGTCAAAGGCGACAATGGCTGATCAGCTCTTCATTAATCTTACTAAAATATACGCGATACAACCTGAATTTTCTGCGTTGTGGACGACCAAATCACTTATTTTATCGATATAAATTAAATATTCAATCTTATATGTTAGAATTGTCAGCAAGAAAAAATCTGAAAAATCTGTTAACTTTGTAAAAAATAGCAGCGACGATAGCGAGGGAGACGCAGCGAAGACGAAGAAAATCGCCATAACAATGCAATTTCATTTGTCATCTTATCACACGTATTTACTTATTTGATTCACAAATTAAACATTATGTAACTTTGTTATTCTTCGTTTTAATTTGTATATAACATTAATTTATGCAAGTCTTCATATGTTTTTTAAAGGATGGCGATCTTGAAAAATAATTTCCCGATCACGAAACATTGCTGTAATTAGAGCTACAGGTTCTAAATGTTTTGAATAAAAAACGAAAATATCTTAAAAGCCTTATACCTTAGAACTAATTTATGTTCGATAGTAATTGAAAAGCTTATAAGGAATTAATTTTTTCAGCATTTTTCGTAATTAAGCTGCATTTGTCGTTGATAACTCCGTAAATAGTCTGCATATTCTCATCTCTCTATCACCGAATTGTCGCCTATGACGTCAGAGCAGTATTTCGGCGAAATCCGACTGAAATATGCATATTGCCGTATTTGAATTTCAACTCTCCATATCTCTTAAAATATGCTTTCAACAACGTTTATTGTATTCAGTATTTTAATAAATAAGGTTATAGATAATATTTTTCATAAAATTACGATTTTTGAAAGATCATGCGATAAGTCCTTTAAATTCAATAATAATAATAACGTAAAATTTGGAAATAATATGTGAATGTACAAGTAATAGTAAAATTGCAACAAATATAAAAAATGGGTGCATGTTTAAATTGAAGAACATCAAATAGAACAATCTGAAACCCATAGTAAAAATACTTCGATTTACTATAGTAAAAACTTTGATACTATAGGAAATTATAGTTAACTATAGTTAACTATAGTTAACTAAAGTATTTTTGGTTAGGGATGTAGTACTTGCGGCAACCATTGTCCTTAAACATGTAATACTTACGGCAAAGAAAGTACTTATACATGTAATACTCACTTTAATCAATGTACTTATTTATGTTATACTTAGGCAATGAAACACCTTTACATGAATACCTACCGAAACCATTGTCCTTATACATGAAAAATTATGGCAACCGATGCACTTATACAGATAATACTAATGACAACAAAATACTTATACATGTAATACCTTCGGCAACTAATGTACTTAAACATGTTATACCTTCGGCAACCAAAAGTATTTATACATGTAATACTAACGACAGTGCATTATTGTACAATGAACTTGCCAAGGTTCTGCGCAATAACATCTATTGCAACCATCGGAAGCAGGAAAGCCTTCTCCGACGTCGTAGAAGCAGCCATTATAAAGACAATATCCTAACATATGGGAAACAAAATTGGAACGATAACGCATAAGTTAAAACAAAAAACGCTATTTCAAAAATGATATCTATGAGCAAATCTCTGTAAGGGCTCAACTGTCATTATTTAGCATATTGTCAATTGCTTTAAGTTATTTAAAACATAGCCCTAACCCTCAGGTAGGGGCTAAAACACCTGGTCAAAGTTTGACATAAAAATAAAAAACCCTCGTTTTTAAAATGTTCTTTTTAAAAAGATAAAAATGGCAAATAGTGTATAATGATAAACCGACATTAAAATGTAGCTAAGAATCAAGAATGTGCAATTTTGCTCCTGATTGAAGACACAAGCGTATACAATATATAATGAATGTGTGAAATAGGAATTTATACATGTATATGGATTAAATATGGAGATTACAAATAGTATTAAAGCTCAAAACTCCAATCAAACAATACAAAACAAGAGCAGAGCAAACAAGGACCTCTAAAACATCAGAGGTGGGATCAGGTGCCATGGAGGAGTGAGCATCCTTTGCCGACTGGTCACACCAGACGTATGCTCCTTGTTATGATTGGGAGAAAAGGAAAAACCATAGACAATTCAGTTTGTAAAAAATGACCTAACAATTAGTATATAAAAAACGTCAGTCGGCATTTGACTGAATGATAACTTGTATTTGCTGACAAAGTCATTGTATCGACCATAGAACTTGCAAAATGATGACTTTTAACGAGACAGTTGATATTCTTGTTTCATCAACTTGTTTGTCATTAGCTTGACTCGTTTAAGAAATTGTTGTTTGTGCGTAGATAATGCT